TGTGTGTGTGTGTGTGTGTGTGTGTGTGTGTGTCTGTCTGCTTGTGTGTGTGTGTGTGTGTCTGTCTGCTTGTGTGTGTGTGTGTGTGTCTGTGAGTGAGTGTCTGTGTGTGTGTGTGTGTGTGTGTGTGTATGCATGTATATGTATGTATATAATATGAAATATCAAATTAAATAGTTTTGTAATTCGGCGTCATTTTAACCCTATAAAGCCTTTATTTTTATTTTACATTATTAAAAATATTTTATATTAAAGCTAAGTAAAAATTGGCTTCAGAAAATCTCTAAACCTATTTATTTATTGTTGAATATGAAGGAAAAACAGCTCAGTTTTATTCAGAGACTCAAACTGATTAAAAATATGCAGTTTGGTGCAGATAATGATATTTATGGTCAGAAAGTCAGATTAAATTCTGACGCTTGTAATGTAAATCAGTGAGATCTTTATAACACTACAGCACATACTAACATTAAATGCTATAAATATCAGTCATCACTCTATATCTCCTATAATATGTCTTAGTAAGATGAGATTGAAATGATCCAAACATATAATGCAGTGATTGAGAGCTGAAGAAATAAAGGTTCCTCAGAAGATGTGAGATGTTCTGGAGGCTTGAGAAGATCATTCCTCCGCTGAGGAACAGTGAAAGTAAAGCTTCTGGAAACAAACGCTCCTCAAAAGATCCTGAGGATCAGATTTGAGACTCTAAAACATGATTGATGCAGAATCAAGTAAAGCTGAGCTGCTTCCGTCCAGTAAGTGTTCATCTGGAGATATTACTGATGTTATTCTGACGATTACTTGATAAAAATCAATAGAGATTTAACAGCAGAAAGATACGAGAAGCAGCAGCTGAAGCTGGACGTGTGTACAATTACACTAAAAGAGCTTTGACTGCCTCTAAGCTATCAATCAGAGACAGAAGACACGAGGAGATTGAATGCGACAGCATAGGGTTAATGATGTTTGTGTATAGGTGGCGCTGGTGTACAGCACACGAGCTCGTGTCTCTCTGACAGCGTGTGTCTGCTGTTTTCGGGTCTGTCAGGAGAAATGATAGTTTACACCTGTGAGGAGAGGCGAGCTGCCTCTCGTTGAGCCTGACACACATACAGTGCTGGTAGATCTGATGCTCGTGTCATTATGTTCTCACTGTCGCTCTCTGATTTACTCTCAGGATAAACGTCAGATTAATGCTAGAAAACGATCTGTAGTGTCTTGAGACGTTTACATACAGCATCTGTCCTTCAGTGCTTTATGGTAACTGCTGCAGTTGCTACGGTT